TTCCTTCAAAAGAGGCTCTGATTGCAGCATTTAGAAGGGTTGGGAGAGTACAATCAAGAAATAAAACCCCATGAAAAGACTTAATCAGTTATGATTTAGAAGTAGGAATATAAATTAAACACAAGAAATGAAGATTTATATCTTAGAGGAACACCATGGGCCACTGAGTCGGCAAATTACAGCCTGGGACCAAAACCCACCCACCGCTTGAGCTAAGAATGCTTTTTAATTTTTTTTTAAGTTTATCTATTTATTTTGAGAGAGAAAGAGAGCACAAGCAGGGGGAGAGGCAGAGAGAAGAAGAGACAGAATCCTTAGCAGGCTCCACACTATCAGCGCAGAGGCAGACACAGGGCTCAAACTCACAAACTGTGAGATCATGACCTGAGCCAAGATCAAGAGTTAGACACAGGGTGCCTGGGTGGCTCAGTCGGTTAAGCCGCTGACTTTGGCTCAGGTCATGATCTCATGGTTTGTGGGTTTGAGGCCCGTTTTGGTCTCTGTGCTGACAGCTCAGAGCCTGGGGCCCCTGTTTTGGATTCTGTGTCTCCCTCCCTCTCTGCCCCTCCCCCACTCATGCTCTGTCTCTCTCTCCTTCAAAAATAAACATTAAAAAACAAAAGTCAGACGCTTAACCAGCTGTGCCACCCACGCAGGCCTGCTTTTTGAATTTTTATATAGCCTTGACCTACGTATGGTTTTTAAAATTTTTGAATGGTTGGGGGAAATTTTTTTTAAATAACATTTTGTCTCACATGAAAATTATATGAAATTCAAATCTCATATAATTTGTCCATATGAATAAATTCCATTTTTCTCATTCAGGGGCCTATACTACAAAAAATTTATACTCAGTTATTATATTTTGAATTTAATCACTGAAAAATGTATGAAATTTTTTCTGTCTTGTTGTAAAAGTATCTACATAATATTTTCAGTTTTGCCTTTTAACACAAAGCCTAAAATATTTACTGGCCTGCTCATGTAGAGAGAAACTTCTCCAACCTCTGCTCTAGTTATTACCTTCATTTTACCGAAACTGAAACTGACGCTCAGGATGATGTTCCTGAAGTCTGAAGCTCCTAGTGATGGAGCTAGGGTGGAAGGCAGGTGTTCCAGCGCCCGCTCTGGCGCATCACAGGTGCGTCAGACCAAATGCTGTTACGTGGGAAGCAGTGCTGTGTGGGCACGGGGGATGGGAGGAGGGGAGGCAGCGTCTACCTCTAACCCAATGCCAAAGTGTGATTGCATTATGATGGTACCGAAGGTGATGGAGAAGCAAGGAAAAGGAGGACTTCATAGTTTCGCTCAAATCTTAAAAACCACTCCAATTTGCACCCAGGTCTTCCAATTTCGACATTTGTGAATTTAATGCATGTCTTTTCTTAGTGCAAAGACTTCTGGCTGGCAGTAGAAATTCCTTCAGAAAATCGTTTATGCGGTAGTACTCGTTTTTGACATCACTCCTTAGAAATGGAAATATTTCATTTCTGTTTCCTGAAACAATTGGATTTTATGGATTTGGTTAGCATGCTCTGAGATGATGTGTCAATGGCCAGGGAAAAAAACGGGGGGTGGGGGGGGGGGAATCTGACATTGAGATGGATTCTGAAATAAGGTCTCAGCCTCTGGAAACAGGGGAGTACTCATTGTCGGTGTCCACAATAGACACAGGAGGAGGACCTTCCTTCCCTGGATGTTCTGGGGGCTCTACTACATTTTGTTAAAGATACTTTGTTGCTGGAGAATTCTAGGATGTAGCTATTCATTTCTGTCTTTTTTTCAGTTGATTTCATAGCTCTGTGTGTGTGTGTGTGTGTGTGTGTGTATTATAGTTCTATAAAAACATTCTGTTTATAAAGTTTATCATCTCCCTGATACCCTGAAAACATTTCTTATGATCTTATAAAAGAAATCAGTAGTCCATTAGGGTAATTTTTTCGTTTTTGGCTTGTGTATATTGTCTAGTAAAGAGCATGTTACATGAATTCAGTATAAAGAAAGGCTATCTAACATTTTTTATAAAATGAATTGGCCCAGGAAAAATATTTTTGGTGTTTTTGTAAGTTTCAGGGCAAACTGTTTTTAAAGGTTTGTGAGTAGATTTTTTTTTCAGTATAAAATTGCTTAATTGAAAGAAAGTCTTGAGTCTCTTAACACAGCTCCCCAGCCTCCTTTAACATAATTCAAGTCAGGCAGGTGAATAAGGGTCTTGTGCCTCAGTTGGACGCTGACTCTGAGAGAAAGTCCCTGAGGTGGACACTTGGCACTCAGGAAGCAGCACCACTAACCACAGCTCTTGACTCACTTTCATGACAGCAGCACAGCTGAGAGGCCTCTGATGAGGGCCTGGCCCAGTAGCTCACTCCCATCACATTGTGAAATCCTCCTCCGGTCTTTGAGGGCTGAGAAGTCACTAAAAATGACAAATTTAGAGATTTGAATGTGTGTTTCTTTTGAGAGAGAGGGTGAGCGGGGGAGGGACAGAGAGTAAATCCCAAGCAGGCTCCATGCTCAACCCAGAGCCAGCCGCAAGGCTCGATCTCACACCTGTGAGATCACGACAGCAAGATCATGACCTGAGCCAGTCTCGAGAGTCTGATGCTTAACCGAGCCACCCAGGTGCCCCACAGATTCAGAAATTTGAAAGAAGATTTGGTGAGAACATGGTAGTGTGCTGATAGCCAGGCAGGGCAGTGATGGCAATGGCTTCAGGGTATTTATTCAGTGGAAAGGAATCCAACAAAACAAGGTACTTGCTGGGGATCTGGAAGCTGACTGAAGAAGGGAGATGGGGGAGTCCCTGATACAGCCCTGAGCAGGACACTCCTTCCCAGCAGAGACTAATTATTCACAAAATTGTCTAGTATTTCCTACCTATTAGTCCAGTGCTACTCAAATGGGGGCACTTTGCCCCACAAGAGACTTGTCTGAAGACATTTTTTATTATCATGGCTGAGGAGGGGCATAGTCCTGGCATCTAGTAGGCAGAGGCCCGGGATGCTGCTAAACAGTGTATAATACACAGGGCACCCCCCACAAAAGGAATTATCCCACCCAAATTGTCAACGTTGCAGGTTGAAAAATCCTGCATTAGACCAAGGTCCTTAAAGACTCATCTGTCTTCTCAGCACTTTAACCCCAAGACCTAACTGGGGGCCTGGCACAAAAGGAGGATCTCTGCATGCATTTCCTGAATACAAATGAGCCAAGCCTACCCTCTATTCAACTGGTTTGCCTAAGTCATTGTTTAGACACCAATGGACACTCTCAACTGTGAGCACATTGCAGAGGACAGATTGTTTCCTCTACTTATCCATCGCTGACCGTACTTCTGAGCTGCAGGTATATGACCAGAAGAGGTTGCATTAGAAAGGGGCTACATTTCCCCTGTCACTTATCCCTCTGCTACATGTCTACATTGAAATCCACGGATGTGGGGGTTTACACCTGCATTCTTGGAAGGGGAGTGAAATAGGAGGGAAGATATCTTTTCTTTGCTTATACCTAGTATTTTGACATACAATGATGAGTTATATTGAATGCCATTCTTAGCAATGGTGATCATTCGATCTGTTTTCTAGGATATCCAGCATTGAGTGTATGTGTGGGGAATGGAAGAGAGGGTAATTTCCAATATAATGAGCAGGTTTTAATGCAGTTTGACCATTTTTTAGTTTGTGTAGAGAGTATTTATCCTTCTAAGGAGATAGTTTTGGATGGTCCTGGAAATTCCAGCAGAGGGCTGGCTCGGTGGGGCTATGTTAGCCCAACACAGGAGCAGACTGAGCCCCTGAGTGCCCCTTTCATCCCTTGTCTAACAAAGCCACTTCCTGATCCAAGGAGCCTGCATTACTTCATAGTTGAAAAGATGCCCCATCCACAGGTACATAAATATGTGGAGTATTGTAGATTGCAGCGTGTGCTGTCCAGCGCTGCCTGGTGCAAACTCACATCTCTGTGGCATGCCAAGAATTGAGAATGCTTACTCTCAGCTCTTCTCTGGATGTCTTTTCCGATAAACTATCTTTCACGTATGCAATGGGGCTCCCTTAGAAATTCACGTGCAACCTACCCACCACGAGGGGGGGCAGCTCCTTTGAGCAGCTGTAGGAGTTGACCTAATTTCAGGCTGTTTATCATATTTTAAATCACTTCTTTGTGTTGCATGATTTAATTGAAACTGCCAGAGAGCAAGAAGAAGGGTAAATATTCACGAGTGTGTATATAGAGGGGAAAGAAATGTGCATGAAATGATATATGATCATATCTTCCTGTTTTTGCTTCTGTTGACTTTTTTCTTTTAACAGAATAAAGTTTTCAGTCTGTAGTCTGAAACTCTGAGAAAGAGCCTTGTGTCTGTACTCACGATGTTTTTGAGGATGTTGCTCATTACATTACACAGTAACTCCGCCTCAAGAATAATTACGATTTTCCTGAAATACTGTTGTTGGTTTTTTTTTTCCTTAGGGACAATGAGTATGTGACTAATTAGATTTTATTTGAGACTGCTTGTTAGAATGCTTAGAATCAAGTCTTTTGCCCACCCATATGTACAGCAAGGGTTTGGAAGTTCACGGTAGGTCTCAGTGCTGACTTCATGTCAGGATGTTCTTACTTTTCCTTTATCTTTTCCATCTACTTCGAATGTATCGTCATTGTTCTATGTATCCCTGTAAATGTCTAGAAGTGTTTTTGGGGAAAGGTAGGGGTATAAATAAATAAATGCGTTATCATAGGCCATGGAAAACCAGTTTCACTGGCTTCTTTTTTTCCCTTTCCAGATTGAGATGCTACCAGATGGGCTGTTTCAGTGCAAAAAGCTGCAGTGTTTACTTTTGGGGAAAAATAGCCTGATGAGTTTGTCCCCTCACGTGGGTGAGCTGTCGAACCTTACTCATCTGGAGCTCATTGGTAATTACCTGGAAACACTCCCTCCTGAACTAGAAGGGTGTCAGTCCCTAAAACGGAGCTGTCTGATTGTCGAGGAGAATTTGCTCAACACTCTTCCTCTCCCTGTAACAGAACGCTTGCAGACGTGCTTAGATAAATGTTGACCGAAAGGGGAAATACCTTTTAAATGTTTGCCCCAGGGCTTTAAACGAGAGTTAAAATTTCCTAAGTTATAACGATGAAAAATGGGTAATAATTATGACTAACTATAACCAGATGTCTTTAAGGCAACTCAGTGTCTAGCCCTACATTAAACAGGTAAAAAGTGTTAACACTGAACTAAAAGTTTTGTGAATCATTGACTTTTAACTTATTAAGATGTGAGAAGTACACTTGGAGGGTGGCATGGGGGACATGAAATTCCTGAGTCTCTCCCTTGCAGTTTTTACCTTGAAGCTTAGGCATTCTTTCATCTCCCTCCCCAATTCCCCGCTACTTACTTATTTGCACACTTGTTTTAACTGACTTCCTGTTTTGGTATTTATCACCTCGCCCATAAATTCATCAATATAAATGTCCTTGGTGTACACTCCACACTCTATGATTTATTCTTAAATATTTTTAGGCAGGGTGTACATTGTGCTTGGCAGAATTCCTTCTTGGCTTGATTTTTACTTCCTGTCCCAGCTTGCTCGAGTCTTACTCCATCTTGTTTTCTCTCAACAACAGTGAGCCCTAAAAAAAAAAACAAAAAACAAAACTGTGGTGAACCCTGAGAAAGTGCTTGCCTTTGGCCCTTGCATAGAAAAGGACAGGGTGCTTAGGGCATGTCCTCCTCAGGGCCTCCTAAAAATTCATGTATTCTCTAAAATCTCTTCTTGTGTATCATCAAAGCCTTTTTTATTTGCTAATAATTTTTATATTAAATGTAAAGCATATAAATATTTTCTATTGTATAATCTTGGATTCAAAATCTGTGAGAATAATTTTTGTAAGGTACAGAGAACACATGCATTTCTTTAAGAATTTACTATTAATGTGCTTGGTTTGGGCTACTTACGCGTCTCCTACTTGTGTGCATTCTGCTCCAGAATGTTTTTGTACTCTGCAACTCATTACTTTTGGATAACAAAAGCCTTGTGTTTCATGCCCTAAAATATTTGGGGGGTTTCCTTATAAGAGGATGGCCACATCATCTACCTCTCTCTTCCCTAGTTGCTGTGCTATTGTACGGGTACAATTCTTAATTACTTCAAAAACTGTGATGGAGGGGAGAGGTACAGATTTGACTCCTTAAAACTGACTTCAAAACACTTGGAGAAATTAAGACTTAAAGCAAAATACTTTTCTTCTCCAGCTGCATGATCTCTAGATATGATTATAATGTAAAACACTCGGCCTCTATTCAGTATTTAAGAAGAACTCTCAGAGCTCACAAAGTAGATCCATTTAACTGAAATTCATCTCATGCCTTTGTCTGACTTTCCTGGAATACATTTTGCTCTTTTTTTTATAAAGAGCTTTGTGTTTAGCCTTTTATTATCATGCATGTTTTAAAATGAATAAAATCAAGTGACTCATTTTTGGGAAAATGTACAGTTTTACTGTGTTTTTCTCCAGCGGGTCTAGGCATGATGATGCCTGTCTCATTTGGGGTGTTAATGATGAAGTAACCTACTAACTGCACCCAGACAAAACTGGAAAACACTATGGATAAAGAGTACTGTAAACATAGAACTGTGATGTATGGTATGTTGTGTCTTGCTTTGCCTGTTCCAGGAAGATGAAGATGAGTCTTGAAATTGTAGCAAAATCTGCAGCCCCCCTCACCCGCCACACACCCCTGAACTGCAGCTCAGAAAAAAGAATTGTCTGCATCAAATGTAATTTGAATAATATTATATAAATCTATTAACGCCAGAAGCTGCCTAAAAGGTTATTTTTATTCTGAACGAGACAGAGCAGTGTAAAAATGTTAATTCCTACCAAAACTTGCCTTTAGTCAGAACATTCAAGTTCTCAGGGACCCAGGCCTAACTGACGAAACTTTCTTTCATCTAGGACTTTAGAAAACAGATTCTGACTGTATCTAGGGTTTTTTGTTTTCTTTTTTTTAACGTAAGTTAATGGCCATTTTAATGTTTCACACTAAAATTGTCAGGCGTACTAATTCCAAAGTTGGATAGGATTTATCTTAAGTTTTGGCTGTGAATATGATACACGAAGAGGTATCTGAATGGTTTTGGCCATATAATTAGCCATAATATGAAAAATCCCACCCTCCTCCATAAAGAAGAGTTTTCGAAGCAAATTTCAGATTGGCTATCATTCTCACAAACTACATATAACTTCTCCTGCAAAAGTCATTGACTAAATCTTCCTCATCGCTTCTTTCAATTTCTGGAAGCACATTACTATCAGGGTCAGTGATAAATACTGTAAGCTGCTTTCCAAACACTGGGGTACAGTTACTGGTGCACGCTTTGTTGTTTGATGCCATAGTTTTTAGATTTCTGTTTAATCCTACATACCAGTGTTGAGGTAGCTTTTCAATTCACACAGCACTGATGGAATGAACTGTGAGGCCACCACTTGACACATGAGGACGTGGTGTTTGATGTCACCTTTACTGCACTCTTGGAACAGGTGTTTATTTTGCAAAGTGTCTATTTTGCAAGTGTTCAAATTCATTTCAGAGGCTTTTCAATGAGGAAAATGCAGTTTGTCCCATTATGAGACTTTAGTTGGCATTTGACTTCCAAGAATGCACAGTGCATGTTCCAAAAAGTCAATGTGGATGTTATTCAGAACAAAGTTGATGGCTTATGCTAGCAATGGCATAGGTTCGTTTTATTTACAGACCTACCCAGATGCACATAGCTAAGCTTGTGCACACATAGGGACACACACACCAGAGCAGTTTTGAGCACTCCTGGTGAGATATAGTGTTCTTTCCCTAACCTACATAAAGATATGTCTGTGTGGCACACAGATGTGTGTTTTCATTCTTCATCCTCAGTCTTAATTTTTCTCCTGGGATGTCACCGTATTTCACTGTCCCTTAACAAATGTTTGTGTTAAACAGGGTAAGTAGAGATCCGTAGGCTCTCAGCACTGTGGCGTAGCTCCAGTTTGTGTGGTAAGCTTACCACTGTGCTATGGTAAGCTGCAGTGAGTTATCTGCGTAATTTTATTGTTTGAGAGTGACAATATTTGTTTCTGTTCTTCATGTGTTTCATGATGTAAATTTTGTATGTTTAAAATATTGCATACTGACGGGTTCAGAAACCATTAAAATAATCAAACAGTTATTCTGTGGATTTATAGCTTTATTTCCTTGTATTTCCAATAAAACCCTCCTTCCATCTTTACATTTTCTCTTCGTATTGTCCTAACTGCATAGGTATGTTGTTGTCCTTCTCCACTCACTCACCTCCTTAAATTTGGTCAGCACTTGTACATAACAGAATATATTTGTGCTAGAGAACTTGGAGTCGTACTTGAGCGTGTATTTATTTGGGGGGAAGCCAAGGCCTATAATGATGCCCAATATAGAAGCCCCACTTTACCCATCCCTGCAGTATTTAGAGCTGATTCAATCAATGATCTCTCATGCCTACCAAAAGCATGAGAATATAACTGTAAGTCCACTTGGTTTCCCAGAACTCTATATTGCATCAAAATCTGTGTTTATTTCTTTCTGGAAACAAGAGGAAGGCCGGTGGGAGGGGGAGGAGCTATTTTGTATCCTCACTTGAATTATGAAGACATTATATACATGAAATGGGATAAACTAATGACTGTTGGAAATGCCCTGGATATAATTATATCTTACGTTCAGTCGAATGTGAAAGCAGTGAAAACCTGTGGTCCTATTTAATTGGTTTCCTCTTGTTCCTG